ATATTATATATATATATATATATATATTATATATATATATATATATATATATATATATATATATATATATATAGAATTTAATTATGTATATATCTGATGATAATTTAAATTGCCTATTGCATTTTATAACAGTCATACCGTGATGAATAAGTTTTGTATAATTAATGCATAACTACTTGCACATTATATTATTCAAATATTTTGAGTAACACGTCACGTTATTTAAAAAAAATAGTATATAAATAATATAGCTTTTAAAAAATGCATTAATACTGTAACTTTTTGCTATTGCTTTTAGAATTCAAATAAACCAAGAGTGATTGCAATTAAAGTAAAGGAGGCATGATTATTTTGGTAATATTTTTCGCTAAAAACAGTCATCGGATCATGGACATATTATAGAATAATGTAGTTTTGTAAAATTGCAGGTGCTTTCCTTGCTTTCCTCGGCAAGATTTCATGGTATAAAGGTTACGAGATGTTCCTATCATACGATAGCTTTTTGGTTTGAATGATTTACTATTTTGGATTGGATATTGGATGTTTTGTTTTTTAAATGTTCTTGTTCGAAGTGTTCAAAACCTAAGCAGTCTAACAACGACTTCATATCACTAAACTCGTTTCTTCATAGCAGTCTTTTTTTTTCCAACCTTGTTGTATTCTATTTTCTTCTTCAATTTATTTGTTTTTTTGCAAAGTTGAAGTTGAAGTATTGCTTATCATTTCCTTAATATAAGGATCTAAGTGAATGAAAAGGCCAAGCAAGTGGATTAAGTAAGGAAATGAAAATATTTAATAAATACCATAAAAATGACAAAAATTCTGGAAATTTAAGGACAGTATGGGGACAAAGAAACCGGCAAGATATTTTGCTGGTATTGCTTAATTTTGGTCATGCAATTCCAGTTTTTTGTAGTACTCCTCAACACTAAACAATATTTTAGCATGCTTTACGTTTTTTTTTTTTTTTAATATAACAATTTTCTTGTGATTATCTTATGAGGAGTTGTTAACTTGTATTATCAGCTGCGTTAATTACAAGTTGGGTGCCATCAGATCGCGATTTCAGCGGGTGCAGAATCTTGGAACTTCACGTTCTAAAATGTAAGAACTTTCAATAGGTAATAGCTATGTCCAACAATATCAAATGCAGACAAGAAAGTTGACCTGCAATAAATTCAGTTCGTAATTGATCACTTGCCTACGCTATTTGTCAAAACAATTTACACTCATCGACTGACAACTTTGCATGAATTATTAAAACTTCAAATTTAAACTTATTTTTTCAGAATTTCTGTATTTCTGGAAAATTTTATATAAAATTCTTCCTGAAGATTTTTTAAAGTTTTTCTGCAATCTTTTTCTTCATGCACCATAATTTCACTCTCGACTAATTAAAGGCTAAAATAATAATTCAGATCTTTCGTATATTTCTAAGTGCAGTGATAAGTGTGCTTCAAGATTCTGAAGTGTAAAATAATTTCAGTAATTGGAATATCATTAAATAATGAGTTTGAGTATTTTTACTTCCTTTTTCCTTATCATATCTTTTGTGGAGAATGAAACTGACTGATAAAGAAGATCCTTTATACATCTGTGATGTGAAATGATCATTTATACTTATCAGTATCTCTAATGCACACAATTTGTGTTCAGTAGTTCTACTTCTCGACGTCGAAAATAATGTCGATACTTAGCTGATTCTGATCATTTTGTTGCAGATTGATTATTAAAAATGTTCAGCGAGTTCTTCCACAATTTAACGTTGTTACAATGTCTCTCCGTCAGCGCCTTCATCACTACTGTATCACTTTTCTTCTGTGGAATGTGAGTTTGTTTTTCAAATTTATATTCCGGAAACTTCCTTCTCTGCAATGTCATGCGCTAGCTGTTTACAATCAATCCTTATATTGTCAGAAATTTGCTTTATTGTTAGTTAAATTCTAGCCCAATTTGTGTAAGTATTTGGAAAAGACAAAGTACAAAAGATATCAGTGCAGTGCCGTTCTTAATGGGTGTTCTCGGGTGAGTTGCTTTTTTCTCCCTCCACTCATCAACGAATTCTCAAAATATTTTCTTTTCTACCTTCTCAAAAATTCACTTCTTCATTTTTCTTTTATCGAAAATAAATTTAACATTTCAGAGCAGTATACTGGCTGCGTTACGGTTTAATGAAAATGGATTACACAATGATTGCCGTGAATGTCTTTGCCGCCACACTTATGAGCTTATATCTTATATTTTACTATTTTATGACTAAGAAAAAGGTAATGTTCCATGACATCATAAATTTTTGAAGTCTTAAGAAACCAATAAAATAATGATGCACTCTATACTGAACTGAATGCTTAATCTTCAATCGTCTGAAGAATGAATCCGAACTAACCTTTGACCCTCATCTTATCAAGTGCCATTCATTTTTCCAGTTGTTTTACAAGGTACTTCTATTGTGCAGTTATGGATCTCGATTGAAGTTTGTGCCGTGATATTCCTCATATCATTGATGCTTCTTTTGGTCCAAATATATGAGCACGATATTTTCCATCCTCTCGGCTTTACATGCATGACCTTTAACATTTTAAACTTTGGCGCACCATTAGCTGGTCTTGTAAGTTTTTACATTCGCTTCTGTTGAATTTCTTTCTACAAAATGCTAATGTGCTACTTAGTTTCGATCATTTTTAAAACCAAAATTTTAACTCTTAGAAAGTGGTATTACGGCAACGAAGTTGCGAGACGTTACCATTGCCAATGTGCATAGCCAATCTTTTTGTTTCAAGTCAGTGGGCTTTATATGGTCTGCTGGTATCTGATGTTTATATTATTGTTAGTTTCTTTCAATTTCTTTCTCATTTTTGGTATTTTACAACTAAATTCAAATGACCTGCTCAAAAATGCCATGAAATTGATGTTGTTCCAAAAAATCATTTAAAAATTTTTTGAACAAAATATTGTTCGAACAAATTGTTAAATTGAATGGTTTGTCGGTTAATCTTTGAACAATTTCAATGAAATTATTAAACCTGATAAATTCTCCTATTCCGAAATTCCTGGCAACCTGAACAGTTCCAGTAAAGTCGTAAAATCTCTTTCTCGGCAAATGGATACTTGTTTTTGGTGTAGACACCGAATGCGATTGGGATGCTGTTGGCAATGATACAGATAGGATTGTTTCTAATATTCCCGATGAAACAAGGGCGTCTTTCACCAGTACAACGGTGTTTCAATCCTTCATGCTGCGCTATGGCAGCTTCCTCTTTCTCTTCTGAGGAAAACGGTTCGCATTTCGAATCCAAATTATTATGGTGTTTAAATAGTTATGCACTGTTGTAGGAGAAGGTATATTAAGGATAAGACCGGTATTTATGGATACTCCATATTTTTTAAACCTGTCCAGTTGACTCCTTTTTTCTGAGAGTTATACATTCTGTTGATTCTTATCAAACCCTTGATGTAATTCAGCATTCTTTTACTTTTGTTAGTTTTGAGATATAAAAAATTTTGATGCATTTTGCAGTCCTTCTAATCAATAGAGAATGCATTCTTTTCTAATAGTATGTTGAATTCATTCAAAATATAGAAAATGCGAGAATTCCGTATCAAAATTATCACCATAGAAAAAGGCAATAAGCTGTTTTTAGTTTTAAATTACAGCTGCTCACAATTAACTTTTTTCTGCAACTACTACAGCTTAAAAATTCCGAGTTTGCAGCGACTTTCATTTCATCCATAATTCCAGGTTTCTCGCCCTTTGTATAAGCGTGTCACTGACTTCGGCCTGGAACTGTTGAATGAGATTATATTTAGGTTTTGGAAATTATGGGATAATAAATCGAAGTGAATTTTACAAGCTCTTTTTTGTCAACTGCATTCCATTTTTTTCGAAAGGATTTAGGCTGGAAAAGGATAGGGAAGCAAATGAGCATGATAATTGGGATTATAGATTTATAGATGTTGAAATTCTGACAATATATAGCCTGCAAATGAGACATTCCGTTAGATTTTTCTTTGTGCCAAAGTCTGGTTTGATTTCGAATTCATTATAGTTGTAAAAACTTCTTCATAGTTGTTCATTATTAAGGACCAGTGTGCGATGATCTGCAAGTGCTTTTAGATAATTACAAATCTCTAACTTTTGACATAAAATTAGCTTACTGATTTCTGAAATGAATTTCATAGCATAAGATGAGAGCTACCAATAAAATCTTTTTTCATCCTATTACCGATCAGTGCAAATTTTGATTAAATCGAGTATAAGTAGTAGTAGTTTACGAGATAGCCCCGATCTCTTTGCCGTCGAATAAATGAATCTGTAAAGAATAACATTTGCGGTATTTTATTTTTTGTGTTGTTTGGTGTGCATTCTCAAATGGTGTCCCAGTAAGCAATTCTTTTTTGTTTATTTGTTTTTAGAGAAATTGAAGGAGCCATATATACAGGAAAAGAACTCACTACTAAGCAGTAACAGAGAGTCTGTCCACGTCGCAGGTGATTTCTGTTTAACATCTTTCTACCTTTACGATTTAACAAGTAATATCTACCTTCTTTTTCATCTTAGTTATGATAAGGATTATCCAACCTTGATATTCTCAAATCATCGTTTGTTTACTATACGTTTGCTAACAGAATAGAAATAAAAATTTTTTTCCTGATATATTTGTTGTTCATTTCGATAATTTATGTTGGAAATGACATCATAACTGATAAAAAGGCAACGAAAGACTACTGTGAAGGGATAAACAAGTAAATCATTTCAATGGTTCATTTGTTTTTAGGTTGCGAACAAATATCCCTGGATACATCCTTGATATATATATTTATCTATCTGTTTGACTTTCTCAAGCTTTCAACTTTGTCTGAAAAGTAAAAAAGTTTCTGTAAATGGGACATTTTCCTGCCTACAAAGAGCTTCGTTGTCTTCGTTCCATAATATGCCTACCATACCAAAAAAAAAGTTTGGGAGAAAAATTTTCTTTCTTTTTGCTTTTTTTATTCACACTTTTTTGCTATGCGTACTTACCGTTTCTCGAAAGTTCCAAAAAACCATATGACTATCAACTGACCGTTCGTTGGTTTGTTAAAAGTTTACCCGGCGTTATTTTTGTTTCGTTCTAAAACGCTTCTTGTAGTTCATTTGCAACTGTTGAAAACTCAGTTTACCCTTTTCATCACCCTCTTTTTTTACGGGTTACTGTAAAGCATTAGTTCTGGATGAGGAAATTATTCACAATTAATGCTTCAGAATGCTTCATTTGTGTCCGTTTGCCAAGTAGTTCAAAATCATAACTGGCAGAAATGCTTGCTTTCCAAATTCGTTTGACTGAAATGAAACAAGGAAAAAATTGGTTGTTGATCATTAAAAATTTTTGAGGTGACTCTTTTAAACGTTTTTCTTCCGAGACTTTAATTAACTTTTACAGTAGCTTCTGCAAAACTATGCTTACTTCTTTCTTAAATTAATTCTATACAGCTTAAGTCGCTGTTCACAAGGACAGCTTTTAAACCTAATATCTGCATAGTTCCACTTTTTAAAAATGATTCCATGTTTCAGCTATTAATGAAATGAAACCAAAAAAATCGTGGATTAATACTGCAACCAAAAAAATGAATTGGTGAACTCCGAACTGAGCAAAAGTGAAAGGTATTACTTCCGGTGGTTTTAAAAAAAAATAATATTTTCGAGTTTAAAAAGGAAAATCATGTATTTTGCAATTTTAGTACAAATTTTTGCTACAATTTGTTATACAGTTTCTTCTGGCAATTCAAATAAACCTTGCAATCCAGTAATTTCGTCAATAAATAGGTCCATATAAGCTTTTAGCAGACCACCACTTGTCTTTTAAAATTCTACTATTTCACTTTGCAGCGAGAAGCAAAAAGACATCGAAACAAATTAGAATGGACTGAGGTAACTATTTATAATTTATTAAAAGTTTTAAGGTTTGCTTGGATTATTAAGTGTGACGGTCAGTGTTCTACTGCAATCTATCGCATGTCATATCAAGCCTAACTGTTTAGGAAATACTGGTTCCAGCCTTACTGCTCGTGTACAGCATCCGTTTGAGCTATAGTCAAGTAGTTGCTTTTTCCTTGCAGAAATCCTTTGGTGATAACAGATGACGTTGTTGGTGATATGAGTAAAACGTTCTGCCCATCTAATTTGTTGTCTGTTCTGAAAGTGACGAGATGTTTCACGACACTCATTTAGGGGAGAATTCTATTTTCATTATTTGTTGCAAAGTGATAACCCTGGCGTCGTTTACGTCGTTTATTTACCGTTGTGACGCTGTGCTTTTGTTTTCTTTTCGGCAGTTCTATGTTTTACTTTTGGTTTGGCTTGGTTTGGTGTCTTCTTCAGTCCTTGATCAATTTTAACCATTAACTATTGGTTCCAGAAATGCGTGAGTGCCGGTAGTCATTTGTTGCTTGACTATAGTCAGCAAACCTTATTTGTCATTCATTTGTTGGGATGTGAGAAACACACTCTTTCTTATTCTGTTAAAACTGCAAAACATCCAAATTAGAGCTAAATTCTTTTTTACTTGACAACTGCACTACCCTTCTTCAGTCCTTCAAGATAAAACGCTTTGGTGGGGTTTTGATGGAGGCTGAATGGTCAAACAGAAGTTTGAAATTATGTGAAGAAATAAACTAATAGGGCTAATAGGGAAATCAATGTTTAAGTGAGATGTTGAGTTGAATTAATGTTAAAGAACGGAAGAGTTGGTAAAGTAAAGGTGTTGAAACGATAGATATATGATTCTTTTAATGTTACTGCATTCAAACTAACCAGTCAAAAAGTCGAATTTGGCCCGCGTCAAATTGCTTATCTTCATTCAGTTTCTGATCAATTATTTAATGCGGATGAAACAACGAGTTGCTCCCTATTTAGAGTTCTTATATCATTCAGGTTCAATAATCCTGGCTGTGCGAGTTATCACAATAGGAAAATTAATGAGCTATCTCAGGCTCAATGAGCATACCTGAGGTAAAATAATAGGCAGAAGTGACCCCTAAGGAGCGACTCTTTTTTAGTTTCATAGCAAGCCAACAGGTACGATATATAACATGGCTTTATTAATTGCAGCAAGATGGAGTTGAATTATGTTAGTTTGGGAGATGGAAATAGGTGCTATCAATAAGACAAAGTGCTACCAGTAGGTGCTACCAATAAGACAGTAAGATAATATTGGTTAATGCATTATTTTAGTGATTTCTTTTTTAATGGATATAAAATGTGGAATTATAAAGTGTGTCTTACTTCAAGGCTGAGACCTTTGATAGTTTGGAGAAATTAGTGCCACTTAGATGCAAAGTTTTATGCTTCTTCCTATTAATTTTTCTTCAGTTAAGTTGATCACTGTTTGTTGATATCTATAACTGTTCTTATCAAATATTTCCTTAACTTTGGTTTTAATAATGTTATTATCATTGCCAATGTCCGATGTGATTATTTCGAAAATTGTAAAGGCGTCTGCTACAATTACGTATTAACTACAAAACTATTAAAAAATTAAGCAGAAATTATAAAAGTTAAAAGAATAAAAATTAAGCCGAAATTAAGCAGAAGTTTGAGCCGCTTTTGCCTCGTTTGGGTGCTCAATGTAGATATTATAATAATTAATGATCAGTGACTTGCATGCTGTGCCATGTTATTTAATTTTTTTCGTCCCTGGCATCACTTCTCTTTGAAGGATGATGATCGGTGAATTGCAGATCATAATGTAACAAATGGTCGCATGATGGACTTCATTCACAGGTGGATATTTTGAAAAGACCGTTTTGAAACTTCAGTAAAGAATAATTTATCGTAGGAGCCGGAAAAGAAAGTGCAGTTGCCTGATTCAGATTGTTCAATTTTACATTAGCTATACCTACTTATAATTCATTTAAAATTTGTTTTAAATATTTTATGACCCATGCTTTACCTATTCAAAATGTGCCTTCTCTTCTCCCTTTCATCTTTTCTATAGAACCAAGTTTTAGATATTTAGCTAAATCCTACATTTATTTCCTTTTTAGCGATTTCTCTTCTTGCTTAATTCACTTAGTCTTACAACGAAATGCACTAATTCTTTTTCCTATCCTTTTGATACCTGTTTTAATAACATTCTGCTTTACAAGGCTATAATGACATATACGATTGGTGCTAAGAGAACGTGAGTTTCCCTTAAGAAGTTAACAAGCCGTTGAAGCCCTAGGATAAAATTTGCGACGTTCTCCATTTACAAATTTTCAAAAAATCTCTTGGAAAAAATTATTTTTTGCTGCTTTGTAGCCTTTTCAGCACTATTTGTATTTTTTTCGAAGTATGATATTTTGTCCCGAGCATATTTTATTCCCCTTAGTTCTAGCAATTTTTCCCAATTTTGACAGTCATTTTGTTTATTGTTATCGTAGTTTCACTCATCATCAATAACTACTGATGATTTGCTAATGCTTTACCAAGCAAGATTCGAACGAAGCTTATTCAGATATTTCTAAACTATTTAAGATTATCATTCAAACGTGTCTTTTTCATCAACTGTTTATTTCTTCGAAACGTCTCAATGAAGATCAAAGAAATTCAAAGTAAATATAATGCGGAATGAATTGTATTGTAATTTCTGGTTGTATATTTTTAGAATATTCTTTGCATCTATTTTGGGCACTTTTGCAGACCTAATAATCGTTGTTCCCTTTTAATTTAAGTGCAGTTTTCATGATAATTTAAATTAGTTACAATCATATTCAGCAATAAGATAGCAGATATAAGTTTCAATTTGTATTCCAATTTTCTTCATGGAAATTTTGCGCATTTTCTTTTCTTTTTTTATATCCTTTCCGGCATCAGCATCTGCAACTTTGAGCAATCTAACAGGTGATTGACAAAACAGCAGTTTGAAGACTGGCATTGTGATTGTTCCTTGATGGCCACTGTATCCTAGAGAAATTTAATTCGCAGTCATATTTTCATCTTTAATATTACTGGCATCATGATATCGCAAGTTCGACTATATTATTGAACTGGTATGTGGAAATTCATCAACTTTTATTTGAAAAATATTTAAAAAATATTGGAATCGAGAATGTTGTTTCACTTTATGTTGAAAAAAATGCGTCGAAAAGTAAAATCAGCCTATACATATTTTTCTATGAACGTTCAGAATGCAAATGGATTTGATGAAAATTGTTTTCGTGATGATATCCATTACATTTAATAATAAATTGCACCTCTGATTACAATCCCATGGCAATCATATTTACGATGCAGTTTGGAGCAAAAAAATAGAATATCAAATATACTGGAAAATTAGTGGAGGCAAAACATAGAGGATTGAGAAATAGTGATATCAACTCAGTTTAAACAGAAAACAGGACTGCATTGGAAGTGTGAACGGGAAATGGATTCCACCACCTACAACTAATAGATCTAATACATATGTTATTCCCAGCGAAACGATATTTAAAAGAATCTGCTTCAGACCTTGAAGAAAAGGGAAGCATCACGAAAGCTTATTCAAAAAAACATCGTACCTAAGTCCTGAGAAATCAATGCTAAGTTCCTTAACCTGCAACAGGCTATCGATGATGAAAAATGGTAATGAAACTTGGAGCACAGCAGTTCAGTAAGACTTCAGACATTCAAATTGCACGATTTGAATTCGATATATAGTCCTATCCTGTTTTCGAATTCCAAATGTGACGATGCCTGAAAGAATCAACTTAAACAAGGATTAAGTAGGACAGTTAACACGTTTGTATGGAAATAACCTCCGGAAGCACAGAAATAGTTGCAACGCGGTGGTGTTAAAAGATAGCAGTGTTAATGGCGGCAGTAATATGAACGAGAGAAACAAAAGATATTCATAAAAGCGGCATAAGTTACGTTTCTTACGCAAACAAACTAAATCCTGACATTTGTCTGCATAAAAGTTTGACCCTCTGTGAGACAGTTGAAGGAAAGCATATTTTTGTGAGGCCTTAAAAGTCAGAATCATCCAATAAGTGAACAGTAATTATTCTATCCAGCTTACAATGCTATCTCCTTTCCCAATCATTTATTTTCTTCAATAGAGTGGGAGCTACTCATAACTGCTTTTCTTTAATGATAAAGAATAACTGCCTTTATTAGCTCGCCTTTCGTCATTACAAATGTCAGGACTTTTGCAAAGAACTCAAAAATAGAAAAAGGACAACAAAAAATGATTATTCTCAACATATATTTCCGTGGTTTTGGAAGGTTGAGAACTGATTTTACCCATCACCTTCCTAATGTAACAAAAAACTTTCCATCTCCCTCGAATAAACTTATTCGCAAACTGTTAAAAGCTTTAAAGTAATTCAAAATATCAAATGCCCAGAATTTCCAAATCAATCCACCACTTATTGTTACTGTCTTATTTTGAATCATTCTGTAATTTACGGATTAGTTATGATAATTAAAGCAGAGATAAACAATCCCAATTTTTTAAACCAATCTTAATTGCAATTTTTAAGTGCTGCAGACAAAATCCTTTGTTGCAAATTTCTTCCAGTCCGTTATAAAGAATATTTGAGATTGTTGGAACATTGTAAAGATCTTCCAAACTGTTAAGTCATATTTGGAATTGTCGGAAAGTTGTAAAGAATCTGTAGTCTGATAATTAGGCTGATGTATGGGATGTTAATGCATTCTCACTGCATAAAGAGCTATAATCAGTAACCAGGGTTCATTCACTTAACTCCACACGCGACAGTTAATCATCGTTCAACTTGATACCCGTCCGTCATCAAATCAACTCCACAGTCAGACTAAGTTTACAGCTCCTCCGTCAATTGTGCGCTCCGATTTGCTTACCACAAATTTCTGCCAAATATTTCTTCAAGAGGCTATTAACGCCTCCAGTAACCGACTCTACCTGTATCATTTGTCTTGCTTTATTATCTAAAAAACAATGTATTTCCCCTAAACCAAAAGCCTTTCGCACAACTATTCTTGTGTGCCAGTACAAAAAAAAAACAACGAAGATTTCTTCGACAAAACTCAGTTTTCACAGCAAC